AAAATGAAAAATGATCGGCAAATGATCGGCAAAATGATCTGCAAAATGTGATAAAATTAAGCATGACCGCTATGCTGGTCTAAAATCAGTCTATAAGATCGTCATTGAACGGTCCAATCTCGGCCTGATGTACTACATCACGTGATCGAACACAGCCAGTATCTTACTGCGGAGCGGACTACGTAGAACTGTTTCGGATATAACACGAATATTACAATAATATGTCTGAAAACCAGATTCATGTTTATTTTAATCGAAACGTCTCTAAGTGGAATATTCAAAATAAGTATTTATCTTAAATCTTTTGGGGCCAACGCCGACACTGAAGAAGGACCAAAGTACAAACGAGCAAAGGAGTTGCTTGCAAGATATAGGGAGGTGAATTTCGTATTTAAGTTAAAAGTATGGAATTTGGTGGCGTGTGCGGAATCTCGAGGGTCTCGTATCTTTCAAGTCTCAAGGGCGAGCTACGAAGTTAGTGCTGGGGCGTGAGCAATCTCGAGGGTTGCGTCATGTTCAAGGCTAAAGGTTGACCTGGCACTAACCCCACCGGGGCGTGGGCAATCTCGAGGGTTGTCTTACGTTCAAGGCTAAAGGTCGACCTGGTGGATAAAATTAAGAGGATATTAGTAATACACTAATCAAGAATATTACTAATTTACCTAATTTTACGCGTTAGGGCTCTCAACCGGATCGGACTATTGCTCGAAATTGGGAAAGGGAATATAGAAAGATGGCTAGTGAAGCTTCGACTTCGATTAACTTTTACGGAGATATACAGAACAATGGGGTCATAGCATCAGAAGCTACTGAAAATAGGAGTGTGACGAATACAACACATCCAGAAAAGAAAAGACCGGCCGAGGAAGCCTCTCAGTTTCGAAATCATAGTACTGTAACAGTGGAAATCCAAAAACGTATTGCTGATGATTTCATCCCTAAATTTGATCAGAAGATGTGTGTACAACAGAAACAACAGCGAGAGATAATAGCGGAAGAAGTGCAGGCATCAGAGATGTTAATTATTCGAGATGATCATAGTATATCCCTAATAATCGATCCAGGGAGTAATAATGAAATGGTTTCTAAGGAAGATAATATGGCGGAAATGGACGCAGTTATAGAGTCTAATGAAGACATAGACGACCAGGAGTTTTCTGAGGAAAGAAAATACAAGTTAAGTAAACATCATAAATGGTATAATGATATATTCGAATTAGTAAACCAGAGAAGTCATTATGGTAATTTAGTTTCCTATTTTCGTATGTAAAGTCAATTGTTGGCGCACTTCATAAAAGTCTTTTATTGACTGTAAAATCATCGTTAATAATGTTATATAAATCAAAAATAAAAATTTCAAGTTAAAAAATATAATTTTTTTTCTTTTAGAACCTTCAACTTCTTTGAGTAAACATAATTTAGTAGTTTACGTATTTTTAGCGTATAAACAAAAAAAATTTGAAAATTAAATTATTTTATAACATGCATGTCAATGGATATCTTAATCCAAATATCCGTGAAAACTTTCCGAAGATAAAAAAAAAACTATCCGAATATATATTATTCGAAAAAAAGTATTTTAATTTTAGCAAGTAAATATAAATAGGATTATTTTTTTTTAAAAAAAGAAAAAAATTGAAAATTAAAAGAAATAATGTTCATATTCCAAAAGTATCATTCATAAGTGTGCTAATAGTTGAAGATTTTAACATTAATATGTTTCTATACTTTATAGTTATTTGAATTTGTGTATAACATTCGATTGGGATTATTCTATCGATGATTATAAATTGTTCTAAATAAAAATAGAATTTTATTTATTTCTTCAAATTTAAAAATTAATTCAAATTTAAACGGAAATTCTTATTTCCAATGAATTTAATCATGATTAGAATCTAAAATAATCACAATTATTAACAGTTTGCCTATATAAAAATCAAAATTGGTATTCTAAATCTACCTTTAAATATTAAGTAAAGT